CAAGAGAGGGCAAGCTCCAGTGTTCACGTACCCTTCTAATGTCTGCTTGCATCATATTTGCCATTATTCCATTGGCCAAAGTAAGCAACATGTTCAAGTCCAAAGACAGTATTGGAGGGCACTAACCAAGGACACAGAAAGAGAGAGGGAATTATTGCAGCCATTTTTGCAAGTGATCTAATGCAACAATTAATTTTTTTGGGGGGGGGCAGATCGAATCTAGTGGGTATAGCAAGAAGAGTCAAAAGATGACTCTAAAATTTCCTACAGTAAGTTCAAAATAGTTCAAAATTCCTTGAGTAAATACTGTGTACCAGGTGCTGTGGTAGGTATACAAATATGAAAAAGAAGAGTAAGCCTTGACCCTATTCTAAAGAAGCATAGATTCTAATGGAGGAAAGATGTGTAAACTGCTTAAAAACCAATTACTAAATGTTAGCATAGAATTGTCTGCTAGATAGGAGGTGAGAAAATATTTTCTGTAAAGGACTGCCTAGTAAGTATTTTTGTCTGTATATTATCTAGTCTTTGTCAAAACTACTGTACTCTGCTGTGATAGCACAAAAGGAGCCATAGAGAATATGTAAAAAAAAGGCTGGGTAAGAAAAATTGACAGCAAAGGAAGTTTGAAAGGAAACCAGATTTGGAAGGAGTGCAAGAGGAGTTTACGTGGGAAGGAGAAAAGTTTGAAAACATTAGAGTGGAGGTGGCTGATACCTAACGGCATATGATGCTGTAGGCCCTGGTCCAGATTTTTGAAATATGAGAGTGCAATAATTAGTAACTGCAGCCATGAGTTGGATAAATTCAATCTGAACAAGAAATGGTCAAAGAGACCAGGACAAATCTCATACAAGGCATACAGTTAGAATAAGCAATGACTGGAAGCTTATAAAAAGAGACAGAAATGTCAGGGAGAGAGTCAGGGAAGAGCAACGTCTGGGACATTAATAAAGAGTAGAGTCTCAGGAATGGATGAGTGGCCAGGAGAGGGCAAAAGTCATGAAGAGTGAGGACAGGCCATGGAGGGGGATGAAGGGTATTGTTTTAAGGTATCAAGCTTTGCCTATAGGCAAATTCTACTTCTTGACACACGTTCAAAACAACTTAGTAATTAAAAACAGTGCAAAAGACATGCATAAACATTGCTTAGCAGTGAGAATAACTCTCTTTGCTAAATTTGTTTATTTATTTTAGTGCATAATAAATGGACAATTATAGTTATATAAATTTATGGGATACAAAGTGATATCATTTATGAATGCAATGTGAAAGAATAAAATCAAGCTAGTTAGTGTATCTATCACCTCAAATACTTAACATTTTTATGGTGAGAATATTTGAAATGTAGTCTGTTAGCAATTTTGAAATATACAATACTCTATTATTAACCATATTCATTCACCATGCAGTTCTAAAGAACTCAAAAAATCTCCATATTCCTCCTATTTAACTAAGGTTTTGTACAAATTGACTGTCATCATTCCATTTCCCCTATCCCCTAGCCTCTGTAATCACCATTCTACTCTCTGCTTCAATTGTTTTAGAGTCCACATATGCTAGGTACTCTTTTTTTCTGTGCCTGACTTATTTCGCTTAGCATAATGTTCTCATTCCATCCATGTTGTTGCAAATGATAAAATTTCTTTCTTTCTTTCTTTTTTTTTTTTTTTGAGGCAGAGTCTTGCTCTGTAGTACAGGATGGATGGAGTGCAGTGGCCTGATCTTGGCTCACTGCAACCTCTGCCTCCCAGGTTCAAGTGATTCTTGTGCCTCAGCCTCCCGAGTAACTGGGATTACAGGTGCCCACCACCATGCTTGACAAATTTTTGTAACTTTTAGTAGAGATGGGGTTTCACCATGTTGGCCAGGCTGGTCTGGAACTCCTGACCTTAAGCGATCTGCCTGTCTCAGCCTCCCAAAGTGCTGGGATTACAGGTGTGAGCCACCATGCCTGGCTATTTTATTTGTAAAAGTTGAATAATATTTTTTTATGTTTATATACCACATCTTCTTTATTCATTTATGTGTTTATGGACCCTTTGATTGGTTCCATTATTTGGCTATTGTGAATAGTGCTGCAATGAACATGGGAATGCAAACATCTCTTTGACAAACTGATTTCAAATCTTTGGGTAAATACCCAGAAGTAGGGATTGCTAGGTCATATGGTAATTCTATTTTTAGTTTTTCTATTTGTGGAAGAAAAATCAACATCATCTATTGTTAGCATGTGCTATATTAGGCCTTTTCAAGACTTCTTGGTAACTTCTGGAAAAGAAACTGTCTTAGGAAGCAATTCTAATTATATTTTTATATGGAGGTGAAAAAGAAAGCAATAAAGTTGAGATGTAAAGTTTGAAGCGGTGTTTTTTTTCCTAATTTCTAATTTATATTTTTAAAATTTGAAGAGTTTCCATTATCTTAACTGAATTTTGAGTATAAATAGTAATTAATTGCCAGGCATGATGGCTCGTGTCTGTAATCCCAGAACTTTGGGAGCCCAGTAGTTGGAGACTAGCCTGGAAAACATAGAGAGGCCCTGTCTCTATAAAAAATTAAAAAAACTAGCTGGGTGTGGTGGCATGTACATGTGGTTCCAGCTACTGGAGAGGCTGAGGAGGAATGTTTGCTTAAGCTTAGGTGTTTGAGGCTGCAGTGAGCCATGATTATACCACTTCACTCAAGCCTGGCTGAAAGAGCAAGATTCTGTCTCAAAAAAATAAAAAAAATTAAAAAATTTTAGAAAAGCAATAATTGACACTTTCAGCTCTTAATGTAATTTTAAGTAATGTAAGTTTAAATAATGTCTAATGCAGAGTGTGTTCTGTAGGAAAGACTTACAGTTTTTTTGAACATTGTCAACCAAGGCTTTAAGACTACAGTTCTGGAATAGATGGGTTTCGTGCTGTAGAGAATTTTGAGTCAAGATTTCAGAATTCTGTTCTTATTGTACCATCTGTGGCAATCCAGCCATCTTCCATGGACACCGAGTATTCTTCTCAGGTATTCTTTTTTATCTTTCAGTTGGAAGTCTTAGAGGTAGCCTTGCTTAAAGGATGATGGATAGATTTGATGCTATCTCAAGGACGTTTGTCTACAGCTTTCTGACTGAATATATTTGGGAGGATGTCTGTATTAGTATGCTAAGGCTGCTGTAACAAAATACCAAGTACTGGGTGGCTTAAATAACAGAAATTGATTGTCTCACAGTTCTAAAACCTGGAAGTCCAAGACCAAGGTGTCAGCAAGTTTGGTTTCTTCTGAGATCTTTCTGCATGCCTTGCAGATGGTTGTCTTCTTCCTGTGTCCTCAGATGGTCTCTTCTCTGTGAGCATGCAGGTCCATCCTTCGAGTGTCTGTGTCCTAACCTCCTCATCTTTGAAGGACAGAGTCATATTGGATAGGGCCATTTATGACCTCATTTTACCTCACGTACCGCTTTAAAGGCCCTATTTCCAAGTATGGTCACACTCTGAGGTACTGGGGGTTAGGAATCAAATATATATTTTTTGAAGGACAGAATTCAGCCCTTAATAATTTAATCTACACTTGTTCTCTATGGCTTGAAATGACATTTTTCAGACAATTTTGTATGTACTGCTATACTCTGGGCTCTGTAGCTTTGTTCCAACTGACTGCCTCGTGCATGGCCCTTTGGGCTTGAAAGAATTAAAAAATGTTCACAGTTTGTTTTATGTGCTTCATGAAGGTATATACTTCTGTGGAAGTACTGTAAAAGTTATAGACATTATCACATTCACCCCTAAGTACTTCATTATTTATCTCTAAAATATAAGAACATTTTCTACTTAATTTATTTGTGATTATATTCCATGTTTATTTCTTCTCAAGCTGTGAATTCAATTTTGGTATTTTCCTGAAGCATTTATTTTTTGTTCTCTCATAATCAAGTGTGCATATTATCTTCTAGGTTGGTGTTTCATCAACATTTTATAAGTCTTAAAGCATTCTGCACTGCAGTTAAATCACATTAGGAAATGCTGATATAGGTGACTCTTGAGGATGTGGTTATATTCTATTACTCATCATTTTAGTGATACTATATTTATGTTAGTCACTACAGGTAAGGTTTACTCATGCTATAGTTTGTAATTTCTGTCTGCATGAGACTTAAAAAAATCATGCCCTGAAGATACTGAAAAAGTATCATGCCTTGAAGATTCTAAAATTTTAGACATTGTTTTAAACAAAATTATTGAAGATACTTAAATTTTAAACATTGTTTTAAACAATATTCTAAACGCTTTTATTTGGAGCCCTAACTGCTTTATTCATTGGAGACATTCTTTTTTTCTTTTTATTTTTTAAGTTCCGGTGGTGGTAGTGTTTCTCCAGAACATTTATTTTTGTTATCCTTATTACCTCATAGGAACTAACTAGAGAGTTCATATGAAAGATTCAATTCCCTTTCCCTCTTTCTATCTTTACTCAAAGCTGGTTCCAGAATTCACAGAGCCACTATGTTGGTAGCTTCTTAGTCCCTTCAGATTGCTCTCACAAAGTACCATAAACTAGGTGGCTTGTAAAAACAGAAATTTATTTTTCATAGTTCTACAGGCTGGGAAGTTCATGATGAAGGCACCGACAGATCTGGTGTCTGGTGGGGTGTTTGGTTCCTGGTTCACAGATGGCACCTTCTCTCTGTGTCTTCACATGGTAGAAGGGACAGCCAAGCTACCTTGGGCCTCTTTTATAAGGATGCTAATTCCATTCATGAGCAGTCCACTCTCATGACCCAATCACCTCCCAAAATGCCACTCTTCTAATACCATCACTTTGGGTTAGAATTTCAACATATGAATTCTGCGGAGACACTAACATTCAGACTGCAGACTGTAATGACTTGCTTGTATCTATACCCCATTCCAGAACCTTGGAAGGATATTCACTTCTACCCTGAACTGCATTAAACTAAAATGTCTGGTGGTCTCCTCTCTCCATCAGCATTGCAAGTTGAGATTCTACTTGTTTCCCTGTAGGGCGTAGCCTTCCCAGTGCCTGTCCCCTGACTGAGGCCCAGCCCCCTTTGCCCATGCCCATCACCAGTGCCACCAGCATGTTTGACAAACTGCCCTACAAAGTCGCTGATGTTGGCCTGGCTGCCTGGGGACGCAAGGCCCTGGATATTGTGGAGAACAAGATGCTGGGCCTGATGCGCTTGCATGAGCGGTACTTGGCCTCCAAGCCACTGAAGGGCACCCGCATTGCCGGCTGCTTGCACATGACCGTGGAGACAGCCATCCTCATTGAGACCTTCATCGTCCTGGGTGCTGAGGTGAGGTGGTCCAGCTGTAACATCTTCTCCACCCAGGACCATGTAGCGGCTGGCATTCCAGTGTATGCCTGGAAGGGTGAAACCGACAAGGTGTACCTGTGGTGCACTGAGAAGATGCTGTACTTCAAGGACTGGCCCCTCAACATGATTCTGGACGATGGGGTCGACCTCACTAACCTCATGCACACCAAGTATCCGCAGCTCCTGTCTGGCATCTCAGGCATCACCGAAGAGACCACGACTGGGGTCCACAACCTCTAAAAGATGAAGGCCAGTGGGATCCTGATGGTGCCTGCCATCAATATCAACGATTCTGTCACCAAGAACAAGTTTGACAACTTCTGTGGCTGCCGGGAGTCCCTCATAGATGGCGTCAAGCTGGCCACAGATGTGATGATTGCCAGCAAGGTAGTGGTGGTAGCAGGCTATGGCGATGTGGGAAAGGGCTGTGTCATCATCACCGAGATTGATCCCCTCAACACACTGTAGGCTGCTATGGAGGGCTATGAGTTGACCACCATGGATGAGGCCTGTCAGGAGGGCAACATCTTTGTCAACACCACAGGCTGTGTTGACATCATCCTTGGGCAGCACTTTGAGCAGATGAAGGATGATGCCATCGTGTGTAACATTGGACATTTTGACTTGGAGATTATTTCAAGTGGCTCAACGAGAACACTGTAGAGAAGGTGAACATCAAGCCACAGGTGGACCAGTACCAGCTGAAGAATGGGCGCCACATCATCCTGCTGGCTGAGGGTCAGCTGGTCAACTTGGGTTGTGCCATGGGCTACCTCAGCTTCGTGATGAGTAACTCCTTCACCAACCAGGTGATGGCACAGATCAAGCTGTGGACCCACCCAGACAAGTACCCTGTTGGGGTTTACTTCCTGCCCAAAAATCTGGATGAGGCAGTGGCTGATGCCCACTTGGGCAAGCTGAGCATGGAGTTGACCAAGCTGACTGAGAAGTAGGCCCAGTACCTAGGCATGTCCCGTAATGGCCCCTTCAAGCCAGATCACTACCGCTACTGAGAGCCAGGTCTGCGCTTTGCTTTCCAGCTGCTGTCCTTGCCCAGGCCGGCCTCTCCTCCCTAAGAACAAATGGCACCAACTTTGCGATTGGTTTATCAGTGTCCCCCATCAACTCTCTGGGGCCAGTCACTCAGTGGTCTCTGCTGCAGCCCTCATATGGTTCCAGGGATGGCAGTGAGAACTGAGAGGTCCTTCCTCAAGCCTCAGTCATGATGGCGGTACCAGCCACAGGGAACCATGAGCTCAGTGGTCTTGGAACTGCTTATTGAGTAAGTCCTTCCTTAGCCTCAAAGTCAGTAGTGGAGTCACAAAGCCCATGCGTTTTGCCATCTAGGCCTTTACCTGGTCTGTGGACTTAGACCTGTGTGCTTGGTTTACAGGTTCAATGGTTCCTCAGCGCATGGCAGATGAGAAGGAGCTATATTAAAGGGCAAAGAGGAACTGCTGTTTGAATTTTCCTCAGAGCCTGACTTAGTTCTGGGTCTTCTTTTAAACCTAATAACAATGAGGTTAGTACTTTTAGTCCCTGTTTTACAAGGGTTAGAATAGACTGTTAAGGGGCAACTGAGAAAGAACAGAAAAGTGACAGTCAGAGGTTGAGAGGAGCCAGAAAAACATAAAAGCAGGCATAGACCTGCCACTGCTTTGTACCTAGATGGTTTCTATCACAACTCTGGATCAAAAAGATAATAATTTGGCCTATAATGTTTATAATGTTAAAAGAAAGCAGGAATGTGGGTAAATAAAAATCTTGGTGCCTAAAATAAAAATAAAAGAAATTCTACTTGTTTGTATTTATTATTTGATGTAGGTAAGTCTCACCCTTGAGCCTGCCTGCTCTTTGAGTTGAGTCAGAAAAATATATTTGACAAGTTTCATGCAAGTTTCACCCTCTCTTCCCAGAAGCCTTCACATATTCCACTAGCTCTGATCAGAATGCCCTCCCAATTCCTTTTCAGAAACACTCTTATTCTTTGATCACAACCTGACTCACCTCACTAGTGGGCTATCTTCAGATTTGGCTGAATGAGATTAAGTATCTCTTTAGGGGTTACACTGTATCCATTGTCTCTCTTCTAGATTACTTACTGTTAAATTTGTTCTCTTTTTTGTTTTCCTTATATGGATTTTGTAATGAAAAAAAATATTGTAAGTATAGTCTTTGGTCCCACAAATTGTAAAAGCCATGTATAGCATGCTGGCTGCCTTAGGATAGAAAATTCCAGGGTATGGACTGGGTGCAGTGGCTCATGACTGTAATCTCAGAACTTTGGGAGGCTGAGGAGGGTGGATCACGAGGTAAAGAGATTGAGACCACCCTAGAGATAGTGAAACCCCGTCTCTACTAAAAATACAAAAATTAGCTGGGCATAATGGTGCATGCCTGTAGTTCCAGCTACTCAGGAGGCTGAGGCAGGAGAATCACTTGAACCTGAGAGGTGGAGGTGGCAGTGAGCCGAGAGAGTGCAACTGTGCTCCAGCCTGGTGACAGAGCAAGACTCTGTCAAAAAAAAAAAAGTTAAGAAACAACACCAAAAGCAATGGCAGCAAAAGCCAAAATAGACAAATGGGATCTAATTAAACTCCAGAGCTTCTGCACAGCAAAAGAAACTATCATTAGAGTGAACTGGCAACCAACAGAATGGAAAAATTTTTTGCAATCTACCCATCTGACAAAGGGCTAATAACCAGAATCTACAAAGAACTTAAACAAATTTATAAGAAAAAAACAAACAACCCCATCAAAAAGTGGTCAAAGGATATGAACACATGCTTTTCAAAAGAAGACATTTATGCAGCTAACAAACATATAAAAAACGCTCATAATCGCTGGTCATTAGAAAATGCAAATCAAAACCACATTGAGATACCATCTCACGCCACTTAGAATGGTGATCATCAAAAATGAGGAGACAACAGATGCTGGACAATGTGGAGAAGCAGGAAAGCTTTTACACTGTTGGTGGGAATATAAATTAGTTTAACTATTGTGGAAGACAGCATGACAAATCCTCAAGGTTCTAGAACTAGAAATACCATTTGACTCAGCAATCAATCCCATTACTGAGTATATACCCAAAGGATTATAAAACATTCAATTATAAGACACTTGCACACATATGTTTATTGTGGCACTGTTTACGATAGTAAAGACTTGGAACTAATCCAAATGCCCATCAATGATAGACTGGATAAAGAAAATGTGGCACATATACACCATGGAATACTATGCAGTCATAAAAAAGGATGAGTTCATGTCCTTTGCAGGGACATGGATGAAGCTGGAAACCATCATTCTCAGCAAATTGACACAAGAACAGAAAACCAAAGACCTCATGTTTTCAGTCATGAGTGGGTGTTGAACAATGAGAACAAATGGACACAGGGAGGGGGACATCACACACCAGGGCCTATCAGGGGTGAGGGAGGGTAGGGAATGGATAGCAGGAGGTAGGGGCATTGGGGAGGGCTACCATTAGGAGAAATACTTAATGTAGATGATGGTGGGATGGATGCAGCAAACCACCATGGCATGTGTATACCTATGTAACAAACCTGCACGTTCTGCACATGTACCCCAGAACTTAAAGTATAATTAAAATAAAAATAATATTCCAGGGTATAAACTGAATTTTTTATAGTATTTTGCATTTAGATTACTTAATTTTTAAAAATACATTTATAGCCAACATTTTTAAAGTTTCGTACTATTCCTGTAAGAAAGGTAGGACAGGTATAGGCATATCTCATTTCCTCACCTCTTCTCTGAAAAGTGCATCATAAGGTGAGTCACTGTAATGAGAGCCTACTTTCCCCAAAGAGTTAATGTTAAATTTGAGAGCTATGTATTTTTTGAAAGGCTCTCACTTACCTTAGAGCTATTCTAAAACAATAGGGTAGGTGCTCAGTGACAAACCTGACAAAATGCTTTTGCATATTTCTTCTCATTAACAATGTTCTTGTTAATGAGACCAATCCAAAAGGTGTTACCTTTATCCTCTCCAGCATTCTCAATTCATTCACAAGGACAAATGTAGTTGCTTAATAGCAAATAGATGGAAGATTCCCATCCTTCAAAGATATTGGACTTCCAGACACTTTGTTGACAGATACCAGATATCAGAATTCTTCACACTCAATGATAATCTATAAGTTGCATTACTAGGGTATAAGAACAGAATTTAAAAATGGAGCATTATTATGATAGTGCTACAACTGGAATAAGGAAGACTTAAGAATATAGACTTTTTTTTTTTTTGAGATGGAGTCTCGCTCTGTCGCCCAGGCTAGAGTGCAGTGGTGCGATCTCAGCTTACTGCAACCTCCACCTCCTGGGTTCAAGCGATTCTCCTGCCTCAGCCTCCCGAACTACAGGCACATGCCACCACTCCCGGCTAAGTTTTTTGTATTTTTAGTAGAGAAGGGGTTTCACCGTGTTAGCCAGGATGGTCTCAATCTCCTGACCTCGTGATCCTCCTGCTTTGTCGCTCATTCGCTGACAGTGAATTATTCCCTGAGTGCCCGAATGGAGCCCAGCACTTCCTAAAAGATGATGGCATGAGCATCCTCGGGAAGTACACTTCCTTCCTTGCTCCCATCTCCTCCCCAAGTTGTACAATGAGGTCCGAGCTTGTAGGGAGAAGGACTGTGACTCTGTAGCCCAGTTTGAGATGCCTTATCCGTGGTGTGGCTGCACAACTTCCACCAGCTCTCTGCACCCCAGCCCCGTTTCACCTTTAGACATTCCAACAGCAATCCTATGATTGACAACAACAGCTATTGCACCTTGGAGTCTCCCGTGGAGGTGAACACAGTACTGCATGGCTTTGCAGGCAACTTTGAGACTGCTTTATCAGGACATCACTCTGCGTATCTGTCCAGGGACTCACTCTCTTAGGATGTTGTCATGGTTTCCCACCCTCTTCCCTGTTAAGCAGCTCATAATGGTGTGTGAAGGCCAGACCATCTGTGTGCGTTTCTGGTGATGCAGCAATTTCAAGAAGGTGTGGTATAAGTGGACTGTGACAGTACCAGTCTGTTCTGCTATTCACAACTCCACAGGTTGCTCTTATACCACTGGCCTCTAGCCCTGTGGGCAAGTGTCTATCCAGAGCCTTGGAAGCAGCTTCAAATTCTGCTCCTGTAATAAAGAAGTTGTAGTACATCTATGGGCTGATTCCCTTTGCCCATCAGTGTGGATTCCAGCGTTTCAATGTGCTTTCCTGCCTTACATCAAGGTGGGCAAGGGATTATAATTAATTGCAGGGCTCAAGCCACCAATCTGTGAAGACCTCAGGCCAGGGGGTGAGAATTAATGCTGGATTTGAAGCTACACACTCAGCCTCAAGAGCTGTCTGGAATATCCCTGAGAACATGGGATTTGAACAGATTTTCATCCATTGTTCCTGTTTTGATGGTTTTGTATAAGAGGAAATACAAAAATACAAATAAAGTTATAGCCCTTTCCTACATTAAAAATAAGGAATATAGATGTAAAAATTATTTATTTTATTTTTTATTTTTATTTATTTATTTATTTATTATTATTATTATTTTTTGAGACGGAGTTTCGCTCTTGTTACCCAGCTCAAGTGCAATGGCGCTATCTCTGTTCACTGCAACCTCCACCTCCTGGGTTCAGGCAATTCTCCTGCCTCAGCCTCCTGAGTAGCTGGGATTACAGGCATGCGCCACCATGCCCAGAAATCTTTTTTTTTGTATTTTTAGTAGAGACAGGGTTTCACCATATTGACCAGGATGATCTCGATCTCTTGACCTCATGATCCACCCGCCTCGGCCTCCCAAAGTGCTGGGATTACAGGCTTGAGCCACCGCGCCTGGCCTATTTTATTTTTTATTTTACTTTAAGTTCTGAGATACATGTGAGGAACATGCAAGTTTGTTTTATAGGTATACATGTGCCATGGTGGTTTGCTGCACCTATTAACCTGTCATCTAGGTTTTAAGCCCAACAAGCATTATTTGTCCTAATGCTCTCCCTCTCCTTGTCCCCTTCCCATGACAGGCCCCAGGTGTGTGATGTTTCCCTACTTGTGTCCGTGTGCTCTCATTGTTGAACTCCCACTTGTAAGTGAGAACATGTGGTGTTTGGTTTTTTGTTCCTGTGTCAGTTTGCTGAGAATGTTGGTTTCCAGCTTCATCCATGTCCCGCAAAGGGCATGAACTCAAGGAATGTATACTTTGGATAGTGACAAATATGGATTACTAAAAGTTATGAAGTTAATGTGTGTGATAATTATCATTGTATGAATATAGCTTCCAAATCACTGATTTCACAAACTTAATTTTATTTTGTTGAACTTCTGTAGCCCAGGCAGTGGGGTAGCAGGCAAGAAGAGTATATGTGCCTTTATGAAGCTTATATTCTGGAGGAGGAGACAGATGATTGACAACTGGACAAAATATACATATAAAGCAAAATTTTAGTTAGTGATAAATGCTGTAAGAAATGTAAATCAGAGTAGGTAAGGATTCTGATAGGATGGGAATTCTTTTAAAAGAATGATCTAGAAATGTCTCTCTGTAGTGTGGTATTTGAGCAGAGATCTGAATGAAAGAGGGAGTAAACCATTCGAGGGTCAAGCATAGAGTATTCCAGGACAGAGATCAGCACGCACAAAGGGCCTGGGAAAAACCACTTGGCAAAGGACAAATGCAGGGCAGTGCCGATAGAGTAGTATTTGTAAGGAAGAGAGAAATAAAGACAAGATGGACAAGACAGTCAGGAAGAAGATCACA